TAAAGTGAAAATGAAAAGAGAATGTCTCGGTTTGGAGAGGACATCCAATTGCAAAACCTAACCTGGAATAAGATAAAGATACATCAAATGGCACTATAATATAACTAACTGAAAAAACCATAAGACAAAAAAGTACTTTATGAAACTAAAGTATGTTAAATCAAATTTTAATGTTGGCAATTTAGACCAGCCATATTTAAGTAGAACCCCAAAATACAACAATAAAATGACAAAAAAGTACTTATTGCAAATCATGGGGGATGACATCTCTGTTTTGCTTTTTAACAGCTGTGAAGTCATCAGTTGACTGCAAATCAGAGGCTTTAACAATGCATTGTTGTCAGTTTCTACGTACGTAAAACTTCTAACAATTAATACTAAAGTAAATAAATATTAAGACGAATGAACCAGGCTTATATGGCTACAGAGAGGGTAAAGTAAGTAACAAAAGCTTTGGTATGAATAAGATTGATCTAAAGAATGTCATACATAATTAGTGGCACAACATATAACGACATAGAACCATTAACGCACTTGCTTTGTACCAGTCAAACCCGTTTAAAAGTGGAGAGCAGGTAAATTATCCTGCAGTTTAAATATGAAACTAAACCAATCGATCTAGGTTCCCAACCCACAACTCACTATATATGAAGCAGGGATCATATGCTGAGCATATTAGTATCATAAATGAGGACCATTAATTTAAGTTCCAATGCTGACTAGTGATAAAATTGATTAAGACAACGAATCTTTTAAGTGCCTTATATTGCCGGTTAGACAGTGCACACTTCGTCAAATTGCTTTTAATGTTCAAAATAATTTAACTCACAGCCTGTTTAAACTGGCATAGTATAGCCTCAGATACCATGTCTGTCTCTGAGGTGGCGTTTAATATTGTCTGAGCGCATTGTCAACCGGCAAATAGGACATTGCCGTTTATCAGGCTTATGAGTCTTGAAGTGGCTTTTCATGTGCAAAACTATTCGGCCGCACAGTTTACACTTAGCCTGACCAAACGGTAGTTTCTCATAGAAATCTAAATGAGATATTTCAGTCCCTGCAAATGTATCGCTCGATCCTGCAAAACAAAAAGAAATTAAGATAAAGTCAATTTCTTTTTCTTTTAGTTTGTTGACATGAGTAATGATATGTTGAAATCTAACAAAAATACAGTGATTTGTTCATCTTGAGGTCCAACACCAAGAGATAAAATAACTGTACATATGACTGTTACCATTAGCCATCCAAGAATCTTAGAAGTATAGAAGAAATAATAACCAATCCATCCCCACACACCCCTCATTTTTGTGCAGTCAGTCAAAGACGAAGATATGCACCAACCAGGGAAAGGATAAAGAAGAGAGGTAAAACTTTTGGCAAATTTAGGGGGTGTTGGGACTGTACATATTCCATGTCTTTGACTGCAGCAGGCCAAGCACTTTCCTACAAAGTTCTTGTAATAAATCAGTTTGAGAAGAAATTGGCAAACACCAAGTTATGTTCATTGTGAAATAGAGACAGACATAACAGTCCAAAGACAATATGTAAGACAACATGTAAAGTGAGGTGGATTACCACACTCATTTTTTTTCTTAAAGGAGAAAAACTGTAGTAATTTTTCCACAGGTCAAAGAAAATGGGGAATAAATACCATAAACTAAAAGGCAAGGAAAAGATATTTGGCTAGCATTCCTGCGCTGTACTACAGTACATTGTGTGAGAAGGAATGGTATTTTTAAACAATTGCAGCCTCGTTTGACCCTTATGCTTGAGATGGAAGGTGTATGACTTAGTAAAACTAAATTAACAATAGAAATTGCCTCGAGGGAAAAACAAAGAAACAGTATATGTTATAAACAGACTGAAAACAACAAAATGGAACGTTTGGAAGAGGACAATTTTGAATTCACTATTATATGTTGTTTTAAGTTTACAACCATTCAGATGAAGTTCTCACATTATCTCAGCCATTATCAATAGTCAGCATTGGCTAAAATCATGCTCTCATCCCACTCATTTGAACAAGACAAGCAATTAGCTAAATGGGGATCCCGTGGTTGTCACATACACAAAATATATATTTTGGACAAGGTGCAAGGTAATTATACCAGGCAACCTTCTTAAAAAGATCCCTAGCATTCAAACCTTAAAATACTAAGTTTAATTTCATTATATACAAACATTTTGACACAGTGGGAAAAGAGATTTTAAACTTTGCACAAACGTGAGTTTTATGTTGCTTTTATAGAACAAGTTTTCCAGCAAACACATTAATGTAGTAAGTAGGTGTCAGTATCAGTACCAACATTTGCCCCGCCCTGCCCTGCCTCACTATTTCAATTTTTAAATAACAGTCATAGGCTGTAGTATTTTTTTTCTTTAAGTATTATCAAAATGGAATTGGTAAGGTTCAGCTGGAGCAAATCTCTCATATCTTCTCATAAGGTCCATCCCATGGGTCCGACGAAGATGGGCTTTCAGCTTATCAACACGGGTATACACTGCTTCACAAATGGTGCACTTATGAACTCCGGGGAAATGTACTTGCATGTGGTGCCACTTGTTCCGGACGGCCTTCGAGCACACTGTGCAGAAATAGGTGCCAGGAACCTGGGCATCGGGCACGAAAATGTTCTCCGACCGCAGAGAGCTGCCTGGAAGAGAAGAGAGAACTATCAAAGTCTCCCTTCTCTCTCAGGGGTCTGATTTGAAGAACTTTGCATATATCAGGGTGAACCATTGCTACATTATAAGAACTGTACTCCTGACTACATTAAGGTACAAAACAAACAAAAAAGACAACACATAAATGTATTTATCTCTATATTATGGCAAACAGTAAACTTCCTTTCAACTATTAAATGTTAAGTACTAAGGAGCAATGACAAGAGAAAGTAAGATATTTCCAGTTCCTCAAAAATAAAACAATAAATCTTCTCAAAGAAAATTTTTCATGTCAGTAAGTGATTATAAGATTGAGAGACTTCATTTCTACTGACATGCCTGATTCACCCTCAACCTTGAATAGATAGATATGCAAATTTATTTTGTCCATTATTTTATATTGTATTTGATAAAATTCACTCTAGGGTAAGAGGTAATTGCAGTAAATATACCTCAGGAAAAATTCTACACTCATGCAAAACTCAACTTAATCAGTTACTGTCAAACAGCATGCACACACTCAGCAATCGTTTGAAACACCACAAAACTTAAGGAAAAAAGGGATATACATCACCAACAGAGAAATGAAAACTACTGTACACTTTTCCTTTCAGAAACCATCAACTTTCATAAAACATGACATCTTAAATTTTCTAAGAAGAAAAATATATAGGAAAAACAACTCTCACAGTCAGATTGATTGCTCCATTTTCAGTCTGCAGTTGCAAAAATCAGTGTTGTAAATGTTCAATTAATGCAAGTATTCATTTAAAAAAAAAAAAACACGTCTAAAACATTTTTAAATTGGTAAAATAGATTTTGACCACAAGCTTGAATTACTTTGCAAATAGCATGAGTGGAAATGAGAAATGCAATCAAGACACAAATGACGTCAAAGATGAACTCAAAGAATGCGAGAGCAGGAAAACTGAATATCATATCTGCAAAACGATAACAATGATGAAGATGCATGAAGAAGGTGAAGGAATGTTGAGGATTGATTTAGGATAGTTAGGAACTTATGGTAAAACTTATGATTCATGGTGACATGGTACTTAAATTTGTCAAAATAGACAAGGACACTTCACTACAGTGCAAATTTATACTGAATTTCTCTTATTGACTGTGTGTGCATTTTCTTTCAACCATACCAGTTATAGCTTCAATTAATAATAATGATAAATAACAATAATACAGATAGGAGTTCGTTGTGCATTGCATATAGAAAGAGCAACAACAGAACTTTAGGTATCCAAGTATTATATTTGTTTCCAAGCCTGCAACCAAGATGACTATTCTAAATTTCTGAAGAGATTAAAAATAAATGGCCTCCTCCTTTGCACTTACCAGGAGTATGAGTCCACGATTTGGTACGGTCATAAGTCTTCAATACAAGCAACAACCTTCCAAGGATCCAGTTCTTCAGCCGATCTGACCTATACTAGCATTAAGGCCTAGGACTAGGTGTTGCCTAGGTCTAGGTCTAGGTGTTTGTACACGCAACAGCAGCAGGAATCCCTCTCCTAATCTTCCCTTCCCATCTGACATGCATAAGACAAGCCCAAGGTTAACTGTGTCATTGAAAAAAAAATAAAAAAATTGAACCCAACTTGTTAGATGGTAGTATCCCTGACCCTATAATAATAACCATGAACATGGAAAAAAAGTAGGGAAACCAACAAACACTGGCAAAAACACAAACAACCATACAGAAAGCAACCTAAAGCTACTCAACAGGTGCATGCATTAGAAGAATTGGATGAATAAACCTCTTTTAGCCTTATCCTAGGCGCCAGCTCAGTGCTGAGTGCCAAAGACCTACTAATGTGCGTATTGTTGTTTTTCTGATGTATGAAGTTCATTGTAAGCTCGTTAACCCAAACCAAGAACCCATCACCACTATTATCTACATCGACACACAGGGCAGGAAAACACCTGAACAGCTCATGCCAGTTACCATGGCCAGGCAGTATCATAAAATAGAAAAACCAGGACAGGATGTTTTTCATTTGGTGTATGGAAGAACTCCAATATGAATAGGAGACAGCAAGTGTGTGGTTCAGACAAGACTTTTGCTTTCTGAGCTTCTAACTAATGCCCTTTCAAAAGTTTTAAACAAGTAGTAAAATGGAAGAAACTCAGACCACCTCCCCAAAACGTATTTTTAATTTTAAGAAATGGGCAACACTTTGAATAGAGCAATTTTCATTGGGAAACAAACTGATGGAGGAAATTGGCACTTGCCGAGAAATTGGCAAATTTTAGTAGGGAATACTGCAAGATGAGCTACAGCCTCCCTGTACACTGCTAGTAAACTAAAAAGGAAGAGATCTTACCATCAAGCGCGTCCAAGCTGTCAGCTGCTGATCCTCCTCCTGGTTCTGCATCACTGGCATCTAATCCGCCATGTTGTGACATATTGCTGAGGTCATCTGCGTTGAACAATGGCCCCCCACTCACCACCTGTGGATTTTATTTTTCATCAGTAAACATAAATATTTAGAGAGATCGGTGAAGCTATATGGCAGCTAAACCATGAGAATATAACTTCCATGTGACAATAACACAACTCATCCTTCACTGAAATTATAACTGGTGGCAAGAAAATGGTCTGTTATAGCTACCTAAATTAATAGGCTCACACTTTAAAAAAAATAATTAATACTTGAGCATATTAATAACAAATGGTTCTAGACAAAACAGTAACAAACTGTCAAGTGGAATTTCCTAAGTTGATCAAAAGGTATACCCCTGCAGAGATTCTCGACAAATACCATGGGACTTGCTCTCATCAGACGCAGAGACAGGCATATGGGACATTCTTGAACACCTTAGTGGAGATGGTGTACAAGATTGTTCGAAATATAAATGTGAACTAGATAGGTGTAGTCAGGTAGCAATGAATAAAACGCAGATTAAGTCTTTTGAACTTTTATGTTTTATAAAAGAAAGAAAAAAAACAAGGCCACTCTTTGTATAAGATGCTTATGCAAGGCTAACTTGAAGTTTGTACATAAATTTCTAACTAACTAATAACAACTTTAACTTATTCAAACATGCCTCATCTCCCAAAAAATTGAAAATGAACATCTAACACACATTAGAACAGATGGTTCAGTATGGAGGATTTTTTTTTTTTTAATTGATAAGACTCGCTTTAACTTGTAAGGATGTGTATTACAAGACTTCTATCACTCAACAAATAAATAAAGAATTGGGGCAAAGGCCACATGAAAAAATAAATAAATCTGACAGCCAGAAGTAAATTATTTGACACGATACTTAGAGGCAGATGAGTTTAAAAGGATGTACACAGAATAGATTAAATTTACATGAGAAATGCAAAGTGCTCCGATGAGATTTCTAGAAAGATTCACCACTACAAACTAGATGGCAAATTCAATTGGAATCTGCTGAAAATGTGTGATGTGCTCAAAGAGCAAAAGTTTGTCAAGGCAATCATGAGATGAGAGCCAACAAGAGACAGACAAGCTAAGTACGAAAATATTGTTTCTAGCTGTTATAGTGAAGACCAGCTTCAGTATTTCCAAGAAAATCAATTCCAAAAGCTGTAAGATCTACTTTCCTTTGAAACCATGTAAAAAAAGACTTGACTTGAGCAAAACTTATAGGTAGATGAAAACAAAAATAGCCTTTTCTTTAAAAAAACTAAAAAAAGTTATTTGGGGTGCTTCACACAGTTCAGATTTACCTATCAAGAAAACTGAAATTAATGTGGACATATTATAAAGAAGATATGAGAAATGTATGTTAGACATGGTCATTTCCCAATATCATAAAAAACTGTGCAGAAGACAGTTGAAATGATACAAAAACATTTGCTCACCAGATTAAGAAGCAGCAATCGGGGAAAATGCATACACAAAGTGTCCCAAAAAGAATAAATATACAAATGATTCAACAAGCTACATAGCTATCACACATCTTGCCTAACTGTCTTAAAAGCAAAAGATAAAAATATCTTTTAAATGCAATCAATTTTTTTTTCTTAAAAAAGAAAAATAGGAAAGAAAGGTAAATAAGAAATGTGGATGGGCCGTTTGTATTATGAGTCTGATGTTAGGAAGTATAATATAACAACTCACCACTCTTAGTCCTACCTGTCCAATTTAGTAACTCTTTGACTACAGAACATCAGACATCTCCCCAAAATGACTGGAAACTACTCTACGCTCAAGGTACGTACCATATCAATTTAAATATAGATGTTATCAGTTTCGCCTCACAATAAAATATCACAGCCAACCAGGATTTTCACAAGCAAGTATAATCAATATAATTAATAACCACTGCTCTAAGAACCACAAAATAAAATATAGAAATTCTAACAAAGACTCCTTTTCCACTTTTTTCTGGCAACAGACAATACTACTAAATTTATGAAAATAAACACAGCAAATTGAAAATTTCAGCAAACTTAGCAAGACGACTAAAAGACCATCTCATAACAGTTTTTAATTTGAGTAACTGAAGTAGAATACATAATTTGATCAGATATCAACAAATGCACACAATCTCGAAAGGAGATGTGAGTGTTACAGTAAAATCTTGAGTTGGACAAACTACATTCTTTACCATCTCCACAAGACGAAAGTATTAAATTACTGGGATTGGACATTCGTTCAGATCACAGCCAAGTTATGGCTTTAAAGCATGGCAATCCAGTGCCTGCAGCAATCACAGCTATTGCTTACCTCATTCATTGCCCTCAGGTACATGCATTATCAAAATAAAAGCAACCATTAACAAGCTCAGAGTGGCTGTGCATATTGGGGGTTGGAAAAAACAGCGAAGTGTGAATACTTAATGGTCACGCCTCACTGAGCGTGTTAACAGAAAAATGTCAGACGTTTCCATATCTTGAAATGAATACTGAGGAGCAAATAAGAGAGCATTAAAATAAACTAAAAAAAATGAAGTAAACCTCATTTTTCAGGGTGCAACAGGTACACAACAGTAAAAGTATGAAAAGTGAGGCTAAGTAAATGAGCTTATGCAACGTGATAAATGCACTTCACAAACCTCAATATTTTTTTTAAATCCAGTAATAGAACAAATGATTATGAAAAGTAACGATGGTATTTTTTACATGAACGTTATGGATTATTTTTAATTTAGGTTAGAAATAAAACTTATACACCTCCTCCCATGACTAGAACTTAAAATTTGCGTCAGCTCACAAGTAGCTTGTATCATTTCTTGTAATAGAATCTTCCTCTTTTTCCATACATAATCTATGTGCTTTGCATTTGTCATGATGGTTAACAATCTCTAAACGAAAATTACCATTGCCTTCTGCAAACGAAGTACGAATATCAGGAACAGACTTACTCCACTTTCTGCAGTATTTACAATACATTATATTCAGTTGTTCGTCATATTGTAACCAAACATATGATTCTAGCCACCCAGCGCGAAATCTACCTCCCTTGCGCTGACTACCTGAGCTTCCTGCTATAGACATTGCACTAGAACCTTGAGGCGATTGTATAACTGAATCCTGTCTAGAAATAGGAGCTAGTGCCCGACTTAAAATTTGCATGTTAGTTTGATGTGATTGTTGGTTAGAGACACTGGGGCCATGGCTTGGCTGAAATGTCTGAGCTGATCTCTCTTGAAATTGTGCCTGGTTGACAGGCTGCACATCCACCCCTTGGACTTGAGCTTGAGATGTGCTCATTAGTGCTGGCACGGGTAGATATTTGCGAATATTTTTCGAGTAGGATCGCAAATTATTAGATGTTGAAGCACAGTTTGAATTATGAGATGAAGTATCAAAAGATGAGAAAGAACTACAACTGGAAATAGGAACTGGGACATCTACTTTCTTCTTAGAGACAAGGTAGTGCAGATGGCCTTTAGAATAGTCTGCTTCTAAATCAACTTGCGATGTTGCTACAGATGTTAAGTCTGCTCCCCCTGTCACATCCATGCCAACCATACCCCAATCACCCACCGATGCTGTTGTGAAGCCAGTGGATTCACTACTATTCCTTCTTCCACTTGTCTGTCAACAAAAGAAGGAAAAGAAATATCATTATTGCTTCTCTGAATGTCTAATTGATGTTCCCCTACCCTTTTTTCCTCACTTTTTTTCCCTCACTCTATACCCGGCTTGTTAAAATGACCTTTCTTGCCAAGACTTTTAAAACCATACATATTACAAACATTACTTTGAACACAATTTGAAGTGAAAGGTTTTGAATCATTTTACTAAATTAAAATGTATCGAAGCTCTTGAAAAACTTAGCTTTAATGAAAATATACCGATTTCCTCAAAATGTAAGGAAACAAAATGGTTCTTTGAATAACAAGAGAAACATCCTAATCAAGGCCTGTTAAGTAGTCTTTAGTCTTGGCACAAAATGGTGAATATGTTAGTAAAGAGTGGAAAAAAGAGAACAAAAAGTGAAAACAGATTTTAGAGATTAGTAATAACAATGATTACTTCAAGACTGTAATGGTCCTGACTTCAAGTCTAGCTGGAAAACACTGAAGAAATATCAAGTCACACAAAAGTAAACCATTACTTTAAAGAAAACTAAAGAAATTGAGTATAAAATAAAATTTGAACTATTTCGGCTAAATACAATAATCTACAAAACATTCTCAAAGCACAATTTTGGCCAATGAGTAACAACCCTGAACAAAGAAAGATACGATCCTAATGAATAGAAGAGCTGAACCTTTTCTCAAAACTCTCGTTTAACCTTTGGGAATATTTATGTTGTGCATTTGTAGCAACAAATCGCAAGATAAACTCCTTTTTACAAGAAGTCATTTAATTTTGAGTCCACAGTTCCTTGCCAAGGGTGAAAGGAGAAGTTCAAACGTGCGTTAACTATTAAGGCAATATCTACAAGAAGCCTGCTCACCAAAATGTATGACAATATTCGTAATACTCACTTGGAATCCTTATGCTTGTTTCCATTTAATCTTCTTTCACTTTATGTACACAATAGAATGTGTATCCGATGAATCCAATACTGAGTTCAGAACATACACAATTCTACATCCGACCATCTTGGGTGCTTGAAATGAGGCAAGCTTTTGAGGGAAAGGGGCAGGGTTGGGATACCATAATTCTCAGTTGATATGAACTACCATTGTTTCCTTGTGCCTCCAAGAGCCTACAGTATTTTGCTCATCACTGACAACAGGTGGAATTTTGAACATGACCATTTTCTTGCCATCCACTTAAGCATAATCTCAACCTCAAAAACACATCTTTCTAACTAGTTCCCTACCCACCTCTTATACAAGCAGGAGAGAAAGAGAAAAATAAAGCTAGTGAAATGAAGGATGTTGAACTTACCGGAGGCATTCCATGGAAGTCATCCATCTCTTGTTTAATAGGTGCAGTTTGTTGAGGTGGAGGGGAAGCATCTAACACATCTTCTACATCTGTTGGACTTGGTAGCACTGGATTTAAGGCAGGAGTATTAGATAAAAGGCTTGGACTAGTCTTGAAGCTCATCTGAGATGAGGGCTGTTATGGAAAGAGAAAAAGGAAAAAGATAATTCATAACTCTATTGAGAACTAATAGAATGTAATAACAAATATTGATGATACAGGTTCAAAATTCATAGTTTTCAATAATGGTCTTTGACCAAGCAACTAGATAGAATATAGATCCAACAACCAAAATTTATGGTCATAATTCAGGTAACATAGAAGTGACGGAACGGAAACGTCACAGCTAATTCATAACAGCAAACTTTTACTTCAGGTATGACATTTTGTAAACTACATGTACAATTTTAGAACAACAATATAATTATTATAATGGTAATACAGATGAACAAGTAAAAATTACCTGAGCATTGGAGTGAAATCTTTCACTTGGACCTGCTCCTGAGATTGAGATGTCTCCACTTGATGATGACTTGCGCTTTCTCTTCTCGGGGGGAGGTGTATCATTTCGAACCTCCATACTTCTGACAGGTGTACTACCTCTTGAATTCGTCCCTCTTGATGTTGATTCTTCTGGCCTTCTTGCATTGTAACTGTCTGTGAGTCCTCGCACTTGAAGTGCTTCTGCAGTCTTAAGAAACATTGGCAACAAATTCTGACTAACATTCACTTCACCTTTATACATAAAATGTAATAAGGCTTTCATTTCTCTGTAGTCAACATCGCGTAAGAAAATAATTGGATGTGGCACTTTATTTTGGAGGAATATGTTTTCAAAATAGGGACTACATGCAGACAATATTGTCTGATGTGCTTTGAATGTCTTTCCATCACAAGCTAATGTCACATCCACTAAAGCTTCCCTTTGGAGTAGGTCACTAAGCACATCTGTCAGATTTGTCGGGTGATTGTTCCAACGTAGGCAGAATTCTTGATCCATTTTGTTAACTTGAAAACCTGCAAGCAAACATCTGAGTTAGACAATACTCAAAAATCAAGGAAGCCATACAATATTTGTGAAAAAACACATAGGTAGAGAGAAATCTGATGAAGATCCTGAGAGAAAAAAATAATGAGTAATAGATATTAAACAGACATCAACAGCTGTTGAAAAGAGACCTATTAAAATTGATACAAATTAAGTAAAAGATAACAACTTAAGTTTAAGTTTCAAAAGTCTAAAAGCTCAAAAATACTTCCAAAAATTGCACTACTACTACACAAAACTTACAGTAGGTGAGAAAAATACACAAATCATGGTTCATTAACATCAGGACATGCACACATATGAGAAAGGTATTTCATGCGACAACCATACATAAAAGAACTAGAAGTTGTATGCTACATATAAAAATATTATCCATAAACAACATTTTCAAAAGACCTCAATCCAAAACGATTCTAGAAAAAATCCAAAAACTTTTGAGATTTAAAGTATGACCCATGTAGATTTTGAAATGCAATAAAACTTCTATGAAGAAAAAAAGACACAGTAAAAACAGCACAAGGTAAATTGAAAACACCAACACTGTCTGAGAAATTTTGTTAAAATGCTGACACAGCAATCAAAATTTTCTTCAGTGAAAACCATTAAAACCATTTTAGGACCAAATCAGCTAATTAAAAGTACAGATGGTGTACAACATTTAAAAAGGTCTGATGAAAATATAAATGTGACAACAAACCAATTGCCATGAGAAGGCAAGAAAATATGGTACAGGAAATTCCAGAACAGCAAACTGTGGAAGGGGAAAATGTAGCAAAGCTACCTTTAGTGGGGCACACAAGTAGGCCAACTAACATCCTTAAGACCAATGGCTGATGCTATGACACAATGTTGAACTAATGCATGGAAGAAATTTATCAGAATTTGCGAGAAACAACAATTCTGTATTGACTTTAAAACATAAGGAACAGAAAACAAACATTCCAGGGCAAAGATTGGCATTGAGAAAAAAACCACCACCTTGGAACTGAAACACCACACCAACCTACAGATGCCTGGAAATCAAGCTTGTTCCCTTCCAGAGACCTACTACACGAGCCTGATTTGCGAAAATGTCTTCAAGTTAAGACAAAAGTAGGAAATCTGCCAAAGAAACAGGTTCATTACCCCCTCCATCCTCCCCACCCAGTCTGTTAAGAAATAATCTTGCCTTCACCACAACTTGCATTAACAAAATAAAAAACGAAAAAATGGCAAACATTAAAGGTAGCAATCTAACCTTGAGCGCATAATATCCACAATAACACAGAGACGGCACCACACAAACACATGAACTTGAAGGTTTCAAGACATTGTCGAGATATTTGCTGGGACATATGCAGCCTGCCTCAACCGTAAACACGCACGCCTAGGTGAAACCATCTCTTGCCAACATGACAGAACGCAGCGGAGCGCTGCTCGGCTGGGGGCTGGGCTCGCCTGGCGGCAGCGGCAGCGATGTGTGTCAGCCAGCCCAACAGCCCTGCCCTGCCCCTCGCCGCGCCCACCCCGCCCCGCACCTTCCCTTCTCCTTTCTTCCCGCTCCTCTCTTCTTGCCGCTCTCCTCTCTCCCGCGCCCCACTTCCAAGTCATGTCAAACACATACACCAAGAGCCATTCAAGGCAACGACAACACATGGAAAAAATGCCCTGACCAGAGAAAAATCATGAAGTCCACGAAGGGGGTTGACAGGACTGACAGAAGTCAACAACCCCGAATCAGATCAAGCTAAAACAAGGTCAAGCCACCAAAGCTTTCGAACCGCCATTAGCCAATCTCTAGGTCATAAGCCTAGACGCATTGTTTGTCCAAGAGATTCTACCTCAGAACAACAGTCATGTTCTTCGAAACCAACGCACGACACAATCCATGTTAGATTCATTAACATTCTTAAAGCAATCAAAACAAGGTGTAATCAAACAATACATTGCGATAACTTACCTTTTTGCGAGCTATTTTGCCATAACACCAAACAATCAACCGACTCTTACTATCACGGCCTCCTGGATACACAGGTATATCTCCTTTTCTTTTGCATGGTTTGGCCAGCGAGTGTCGGTTGAGCGGCCAGGGTAAAAGAATCAAAGAATCTTTCTCGTACATTTTATATTTAAGAAATTGCCTGGTTGATTACCAGTACAGATCTATGTAGTGTTTGACAGAAACCACATTGGATTTTCATGTCTCAGTAGCTTAACGTTACCTTAACAATATTTACATTGGATTAAGCTTAAATTCAATTCTGTGACTGTACATTAAGGCACTAACGTACTGTCATCGCAGACTTAAGTCTGCATATTTTTCTTCATTTTCACATCAAATGAGAAAATTAGTGCAAATATTGGAAGAGCAGTTAATTGCTATTTTTTTCTTAAGACTGTATTCCACAAAAAAACATTGCTGGAGATGGACGAAGTAGATGAGGTTAGAATGGAGTGTGACGTCATCTTCAGTTTGACGTTGAGAACGACCTGGACCTCCCCATTTGGTACCTGCTTCGATGTGAGAAGTTACGATACTTTGGTCACTGAAATACTGGTATAAAATAATTTGAATTTGATTATGTTTTTAATGTCGATGTTAGATTAATGCTTTAAATTATATTGTTGAAAGTCAACTGCAAAACATTGTAAAGGATAGATGCAAGCCGCAAGAATAAATGATTCTATACATCCTAGAAAACAACAACCCTAGATTCCTTATTTCTGCATCTGCAGTATGCATCCGGGTTGAACATTCGTATTATTCGAACTAACTTCCCTTTCAAAGCGTCAAAAAGCTCACGCATAAAGTAGGAACGGTGAGCTGCCTAGGAAAGTGATTGTGTTTGGACCCGTGCTCGTCGTTACTGACATTTCCCTGTTTTTCCGCCTATTTAACCCATATCCTGTTCGCGAAACAGTGTACCGGAGCTCTAATGTCACCGCGCCGACGTCGGGTAGGTAGGTGCAGTGCACGGTGCATAGGTCGCGTAAGTATTCCGCGTGCACTCTCCGTGTGTGGCGGGGTGGAGGTTTGCCAAGGCAGAGGGAAGGCCTGTGCAATAAGACTCGATGCCAAGAAAACGGCGATCACCTATACTGTCCAATCCGCAGCTCTGTTCGACATATGGAGAGGGGCTCAAACGGGGGGGATTTGATAGCAAAGCAAACCTTCGGAGGAGGCCATCCAGCTCTGAGCCCGGCCCGGCCGCAGGCCCGGCCCGACCCGGCCCGCCTCGGCGCGGCTCGAGAGCTCCACAGGTCGGCTCGGCTCGGCTGTGCACGACAGGCTCGCCCGAGGCCTGCCCAGCCCATTCCCTACTCCATAGTTATTAGACACCAAACCAGTTCTCCGCACTGACCTTGGCGAATATTCCAGCATGAGCTAAGTAATTATTTAGGGACAGAGGGCCCGACATACTATCGTATCGGAACGTGTGTTATACGAGGTGAAGCGCAAAGCATCAGAGCGAAAAAATAAATAACAAACAACTGGATCGTTTTAACAGTAATTTTAAGCAATGCGCGAAATGTATAGCCACACGGACGGGAATAACTGAAAAACCCCTCTTTAGTATTAATACTCGGCTGGAACAAACTTCCCGATGGCAGAGGGTGTTCCACGAGCCACGGGGCCCCGTACTTTTATGAAGTTGTACTGTACCGCATGCAGGCGTTCAGGCGGGTTTGGCTACATGACGCCTTGAGGCCCGCGAGTAGGCAACCCGCCCACACGCACGCATGCGGCACAGCATACCTAAAACGGGCCTGCAAAAAGAGACGTTTTGATGCTGGACGCCTTTTCCCTTGTTTTTTTCCCCTCTCCTAACCCTGCTCTGACCCCGATCCCGCCTCCGGTTTGCTGCCCAGAGCCCCGGACCTTTTCCTTCCTGGATGCGAGCGCGGTCCCGCGTCGTCGTCAGTCCCGCGCGCGTTAGGACACAATCACACACGTGCTGGCATGTCCTGTCCGGGGGTGTCCCCCCCCACCCCCCGTGCCAACCTTTTGGCGTAGGACCCTCTCCCCTCCCCTCACGCCCCTCCCGTCCCCTCCCCGGCCATTCCTCCTTTACCTTTCCCAGCCAAGGTCAAGGACCATCGGGGCTCCTGGTGCCTCCCTACACCTTGCGCCCGCTCATGGAAGGTAGGCGGGCCGAGCCAGCCGGGCCCATGGCAGCCCGAGCCGAGCCCGGCAGAGCCAGCTCATGCCATCATGGGCAGCACTACTCCGGCTCGCGGCTCGAGGGCATCCAGGGCCGACTGGATGGGACGGGACGGGCAGACGACGAGACAGGCCGCGCGGCCAGGCGCCTGAGGTCGCGTCCGCACACCGCGGGAGCAGCGTGCGCGCCGCACCTGAGAGAGACGCGTGGGAGAGAGACGGAGAGCGAGCGAGGGGGAATACCAGGGGCGGTTGCGAACGCGGCCATGGGCGTAGGTTTGAAACTTGGACTCCATGCCGCCACACCGCCAGCCGCGGCGAGCGCGCGGCGCGCGCACGCGCGGAGCCCAGCCATGGCCCAGCCCAACCCATGCCCATGGCTGCGTCTGCGTGCGTCAGCTTGGCTTCTCGCTCGCTCCCTACTGCTCTCTCGCTCCGCCATTCCCTATCGCTCTCTCGCTCCCCCACTCCCTATCGCTCTCTCGCTTCGCCACACTCCCTATCGCTCTCTCTCGCTCTGCAGCCGTCCCCGCGGCCGTGCGAGCGGGACGGCGAGCACGTCCGCGCGGACGCGGTCCAGCCCGGCCCAACAGCCTTCGTGTGGGAAACATTCCCGGAACCCGAAGGAACCTGACGTGACAAGAGGGGCTTTCTGCCCAGCCATGGGCCGCCATGGGCCGCCATGGGCCAGCAGGCCTCCACAATCTTGCGCGAGGAAAAAAAAAGCGCCCACTTTGCAAAAAAAAAACTTCAAAAAAAGTTAAGTTTTAAAAATTCCAACCCCCCATTCATTTTTGACCTTCTATGGCAGCCGAGTGATTGATCAAAATATGCGTTTAAGTCTTGTATGATTTGAGGAATTTGGAAGGCCCGACACCCGAGCACGCAGCAAAAAAACCGCTACCTGATGAGCTCAAAAATTCTTCGCGAGTGACTGACCCAGTGTTATCTATGCTGACAGCCGCTGACAGCTGTGGCTCCATGCATGGCTTGGATGTCATTGGTTTCATTCCCCACCCGCATTCCTAACACCTGCGCTCAACATTTACTTGTAAACCACCAGACTCGACTGTGTGGCGATGAAATGAAATTCGAGCGCGTTTATCATTACCTGACGGCTTGCATCAAACCTTTACACTGGACTGTGATTAAAATGAGATAAACTGACTCGAAATTTTTTGACTGAGCAAAGATGAATGAATCTTGCGCATCTTCTTGGCGGCTGCTGATGGAGGCTGCGTCGCCGGGGATGATCCAGTGTGACGATGCGCTGGCGGAACGACGTGGCCGAGACATGTGAGTACATTATTGCTTTTGCAGATTAAATAAAAAGGTGGCTATAAGAGGGTTTGCAAGAACAACCAGGCGTTCCCTAGACGGGTCAGGCAGAGGTAGGTGGCACCTGCCGGGGCGTGTTCCCGACGCGCTTCGCGTAAAATATGCAAAGTTCAATGAAATGAGAGTGGACCGTTAGGCTGGTCGGGTCATGGCCCGCTCCACGGGGCAGCTCCACGGAGCAGCGGCCAGGGCAGTCGCCCCGGGTCCTAGGCGGACACAGAACAGGAACCCGAGGGACGCCGCCTTCATAGGCAGGCAAGCCCAGGCGAGCACACCTGCGACCCATCCTCGTCGAAGGCGAGCCAAGTGGAACCAAGCCTCTAGTACCTAGGTACCGCTCGGCTCGGCTCGACTCGGCTCGGCTCGGACTCGTAGCGGCGTAAGAATGCGGTCCGGTCTCAACTAGTCGCGCAACGTTTAGCAGACTCTCATCAGAGAAAAAACTTTGCTGGCCGCCGTAGCATGAGATCGAAAGATTTCTTCCCTCGCGAAGGAAAAAAAGTGTAAGCAAGAGTAGGGAATCGAGCTGATTGCCCACTTTCCATCCACCTCCAGTGTCCCAGCATTAGACACGGTCGCAAATCCTGCAAAGGATTCGCCATTTGGAAATTTATGGTCCAAAATGTAGAAACAGAATTTAATGGCAAAAGGGGAACAAACTATCTATACCGCTTGCCCTTCTAAGGTTTTACGCCTGGTCGTCAAGAGAAAATTAGCAAACTCTGCAATATAATTAAATTTGCTGCCAAAACTATATGAAGGAAGAGTTAAAATGAATGAACTACTTCTTGTCAATGAAAATAAGCCACCCTTGTTTCAATTACTTTTATGTATTGTCATTTCTGGCAAAGATGAAGATAGCACATCAGTTTGATCTCTTTTATTTCTGAGGAAGAAGAGAAAGAGCTGGAGAGAGCAGAAAAATTCAAAAAAATTGAAAGATGAGTCTCTGGCCAATGTAGATTCGCAGCACCGCGCTCCGCCAGGACGTCACCCCGCCGATCCTCC